AATTTGGTTGAAAAACGTCCTATCTCAACAAATGGTATATATTTAATTATATTGAGATAAGGCGTTCTATAACCATTTGCTGAGTTAAGTCGTTCTTCAACCAAATTATGAAATAGGATGTTCTTGAAAATTTTGCTAAGATGTCGATATAGGTCGATCTTTCACTCTGCTAACATACCGTAGCACTACCTTTCCGAAAGCTATACTGTGCATCAGACAAACAACGCATAGTTCGATTTGGTGCGATAGACGGTGACAAATTTTACGCCCCAATAAATTACTTAAAGCATCAGTCATACACAGAGGTCTATAAGAGCTTGCCTCCCCTCCTGTTTGTTCATCTTTGGGAGTAGGACCACCCTCTTGCTTTTCCAACTACTCGAAAATATACCTTCTCGAAGTATCCACTAAAACCTTTTGAAAATGCTGATGGGGATGTATCCACTGCCACTTTAATGGCAATATTTGGCATACCATGGGTGAGTTGCATACTCGGGCTGCCGCTAGTCTCCTGATAGCGGATTCAATAGCTCCGATGGCTGACTTACCAGCCCTAAAGTCATTCCGCCAGTGCGAGGTGTCAGTACTTTCTCGTGGAGCTTACCTACTGTGTTTAATACATGGCGAACGTTAAGCAAATGGTGAGCTCGAACTGCCTTTTCCCTTTCTGATTAATATGAGTTGCTGCTGCTTCCATATATTGGGAAGTAGCCCTGCTGTCAGACATGTGTGATACATTGTGGGAAGCATCTCCGTGCGCTTCGAGGGTACGGTCTTTCGCACTTCATAGAGTACACCATCGGTCACTGGCGATTCATTTTTCTTTCTTGGCTCGTCTGCAGTGCATTGAAGTTCTTTCGGCGTAAAGAGCTCTGGCGTTCTTCCATCAGTTGGGACTGCGATCGATTCTTCTTCTACATTAATACGTTGTCCATTTCTTGTGTGGTTAAATCCGGCATCGGAGCCACACCTCCCAGTGTTTTCATAATAACTTTGTAGCCAAGAAAATTTTTTCCCACAATAATTATTCGTTAAAACACGGCATCAAGCTCAATAAAATTGTTGAATAAGAAAAAAGAAAAAAACAATAATTTAAAACAAAATTGGGACGTAATATGGAAGGAAATGTTGCGTAGACTTTATTATTAAAAGCCGTATTCTATGACTGCATTATGACTATTTATGCGCTTAGTGACCCACTTGTGAGCTTATCAACTGATTGCATTTGGCCCATTTCTCGTGTGTGCATCGACCTCACAATAAAAGAGAAAGAAAGAAAAAAGGGCTAGTTCCCATTTTTTGTATTTATTTTTTTAATTGTTTAGATACCTAAACGCATTGTAGGCACTTGAAATAAATCGGAGCAGATTTTTAAATTAAGCGAAGATTTTTTCGAACCAAAATGAAAAACACTTATACCAGAAGCTTTAAAATCTCCTCGGCGTTTCGGTAAAAAACATTTAAAAAAAGAAAAACCCGAAAACTTTGAACTTCAAATTCAGCCTGCTCTTAAACTTTTGCTCGGCCTCGACAAAAAAAAAATAAATTGAATTATTGCAGTGGGTAGATTTTGCTAGCAGCTGGCCTATTGGCTGCGTCGTTGGCTCGCTTTGGCTGCGATGAGTGTGGCACTTGCCTTGCGAGAGCTAATATCTAGGCGACTGTTGACAGGTGCTATCAGCAAGAAATTGTAGGCAACAATAAACACATAAACATAGGTGTAAGCAATAAAAACGCGCACCTACATACATCTTACACACTACACACATACGCCCGCACACAAATACGAAATGTGATAACTCACTTGGTTCATTGACTCATTGGCGCGAAGTGGCAAAAGAACACAACGAATTGTTGGAAATTAACAAAAAACAAAAGGTAGAAATAACATAAGGGACTTTAGAAGTGTATATAAACATATCACAACAAAAATAGCCCAAGCGAAATTTTTGCAAAAGTAAAGCAAAGAAAATGACTTCACTCGCTTTCCTTTTAGTTTTCATTCAATTGTTTTCACGTACAACTGATTACAATCAAAAAAAGTTTACACACACAAGCACACATTTCTGTAAAAGCGCACTGCTTCACCGGCCGGTCGCGCCAACGCCAGCGCTTTGCCGGCCCGGCCCGCATTGTCATAAAAGCGAGCAAAAGAAGAACAGAAAAAACCAATTCATATTAATAACTGTTCTGCTTGTCAGCGCTAGTGTTAATTGTTGTTGTAATATACATATAAATATTTCTAGTTATTTACACATTTCATATGATATTGTGTTGATGGCACTAAAGTCATACATATAATAAACAGTTAGCGTCAAAAATATGAATACCCTGACGTTTTGACGATTTTATTTATTTATATTTTCCAAACCCCATTTTTTCTTATTTTTTTATAAAAATGTAATTCATTCAACAGTAAAAAGCAGCAGAATAAATTTTTTCAATTTCACATAGAACTCGGAGAAATTCAAGATATACCAAAAAAATTCCATCAAAATTTTCAACTTTTCAATTTGATTTCTTAGATAAATTTTGAGTACGCAGTTTTGTAAATTTTAGTGCAATGAGATGCAAGTTTCAAGTCTCTAAAAATTGCCATTGATTTTTGAGAATTTTTTCGTCAAGAGTGTTGTGCATTTTCTTCCATATTCCATATAACGCATGAACAAAATATATTTTTATTTCTATTTCTTATTTTTCTTCTTTTCTTTATTTTTATGAATTTTTATGAACATATGGTTTTTTCTGTTGAATGAATTATATTTTTATAAAAAACTAAGAAAAATTTAGTATGAATACCTAATGCCAATAAATAAAATCGTCAAAACGTTAGGGTATTCATATTTTTGACGCTGACTGTATATGTGTGTACCCTACTAGCGAATTGATTGATGGTGGGGCATACGTTGACAGGGCCAGGCATGATTATTATTCTTTCAAAAATAAACAATCATACCTAAGGGGAAAAACGTGAAAAACCTATGCGTACATATAAACTTTTATATATAAATGTACATATTTATGTATCTTATTTATACCTAGTTTTTAGTCTAGAGCCTACCCCACACCCTATACACCTACAAACGGTTGCATACGTACATATATATCGAGCGATGCATTTTTCTACTCCACAACTTTTTATTTGAATTGCGCTACTCCTGCTATTACCTACTCGTAATTAGGTTGACTAGGGATTATTGTTGTTATCAGTGAAGTACAAAGTGCTTATGGGGCACTTATACTCTTAGTACCCTAGAGTTCTAAATTTCATTAATTGTGTCACTCACTTATCAGCCAACAACAATGTTGCAAACTCTGTTCGATATCGCAGAGCTAGGACCATAAAATTATTTTAGAAAGTAAAAGTTTTTTGTATAGGAGAGGCAGAAAAAAAAGTGATGGGTAGTAAAGCTGGATTCGATATAGTAGAAATATAAATATAAAGCAAATAGTTTGTAGAGTTGCAAGTTGACTTCTCCACAATGTGTATTTAGATAATTCGAATGGAAAAAATAGCGACAAAGTTGAAACTTAGAACTCAGTTAATAATACCGGAAAAGGTTTCAAGACGACTCAAGTGCTATGAGCCGATCAAACGTGGTGCCTTATAATTAGAGTTCTTCAGACTTCAGTTCAGTACTCATAAAGATATTAGCATTGCCGGAAAATTCACTGAGAGAGCGACGGAAAACGTGCGAGGAGAGGTTTTTCGAAAGCAACTGAGCGCCACTTTTCTACTTTTAAATCTACCTGGCAATGTAGACCGCGAACTGGAATACATACCTTCGTCAACTTGTATCGGTGTTTTACGTGGGTACCTGCCATGAAGGCCTAACCCTCAAAAGCACAATGGATGAATTTCAATGGCAGTGTGGGATGGGCACTTTAACCACCTTGGTTGGGCTCGAAGCCTATCTAAAGCCTCTACCGTTCTTTGGGTTCCGACACCCGGTTGAATTGCAACTCCACATCGAACCAACCAAGGCCGGTTCTACCCGCATTTGGGTGTTAAACCACAGCCACTACGAATGCTCCCCGAGAGGTCGTACTCAGGAACAGACGGGAATAATGCTCAACTCGCTCGACTTGATCATTTCTACTTTTTTACTCTGCAAACTATACAAATAGTTTTTATTCAAAAACGACCTATCTGTCTTTCAAGCGAATTTCCAAAAGTCAATTAAAATATATTTCACACAAACGCGCGCATGTTATATAGCACGTGTGTACTTTTCCGTCCAATTCAACATACCAAGAGTTGCAGAAGCTCACCACACAATTTGAGCCAAGTCGCAAACCTAACTGTAATAAAGATGCGCTGTAAAGTTTCCCCAACATACGGAGCTTTCATCGCCGTAAGAATGCATAAATATTACAGCTCACTGTTAACTCAACAGCGCAGCAAGAATTTAACGGAAGGGCTGTAAATGTTTTCAGTACAAAAATTAATTCAACCAACTGTTAAAACTCACTTAACATTCCCACTAGCATTCTGTTATTGCCTATTTTCCGGCCAACACTGTTATTAACATGCATTTTTTTTTTCTTTTTCAGCAACTTAACAATGCCGACTTCACCATCGACGACACCTTCGACATTGACCAGTTTGATGAAACACCCGCCACCAACGTCGCCGCTGCCAGTTCAAATGTGGCAGTGGCACGCAGCACGCGCGATCTCGACTCCCAATCTCTGCTCGAGGACGAACTACAGCCGGTCGCGGCCGAGGAGGATGCCGACGCCGACAGTTGGTTGATACAGGGTGTCAAGCGTGTGCGTCGCGAGCTTAGCCGCATCTTCGGCAAGGCGGAGGACAAGTCAGCCAAGCATTCGCATCACCGACGCGGCCCTGGCGAAGGCGGCAAGGAAGCGCACAACAAGCATTCGAAGCACAAGGCGCACAGCGCTGGTGAAGGCAAGAAGCATCGCAACAAGCTTCAGCTGCGTGGCAAGCACCGCGCCGGAAAACTGTTACTCCAACGCCAACAGTCAGCGCAGGATATTGAGCACGAGGCGCCAGAGCATGTAGGAACGGCGAAGCAGCAGAAGAAGCTGGCGAAAAAACACTCGAAACGACAGAGCGACTACGATGGTTCCGGTGATGGTGATGAGGATTTCGGTGCCGCGCCTATGGCATTGTGTGAGTGCAAGTTGTTGTTGGGACTTGGCGCAACTGTTGCTAATGCATTTTTATTTATTTTCTCTTTCCCAGGGCGCACACGATTCATCATCAACGAGCCATGGAAAATTGCCTATTCCGACCAAAAGAGCACCGAATTTCTCGAACTGCACCGCCAATTGGAGATCTCTTTCCGCGAACTCTTCCATGGCACACACAATGATGAGGACCTTGACATCAGCCCGACCTTGCTGGCCGTACTGTGAGTAAACTAAGCGCACAAGATAGCAGCCTGACTTCATTTCTACTCTTGTCTCTCAACAGTCCACACAATGACAGCTACAAAATCTATGTGATCGTGCAGCTGGAACTGCCCGAAGAGGTCACAGATTTCGGAGAAGTGTTTGCCAATCAAATTGCTCGCTACCATCGTTTGGGCAGCTTGGGCGCCGACACTGACAGTCGCTACTATTTCAGACTTGTTCGCGGTAAGTGTGTTTGGGTCGGTAGATGCGCCACATTAGGAAGTAAGGACTGCTCGGCAGTTCTGTGAAAGCTCACCGCAGGTCTTGTAATTCTTTCTAGCGGGTTCTTCGTAGTTCAAATTTCTGCTATTTGATAAACTTATAGAGTTTTCTCTGGAAGTTTTGAGCCGTGGTAATTTCTATGATTAACAAAACAGCCGAAAAGTGTTTGTTGGGCTGAAATGTTTTGAAGCAAAGGTCGGTAGTCTTTTGCTTCGTTTTATACCTAACCTCTATGGGACCCCACTCCCCTTACTCTGACCTCCTAACTTTTTCGCCTTCTTACTTACCGTATGTAGTTGTTGAAATTGGTTTTTAGAATTGTTTAACAGTGACTTTACTTTTTCCAAAACACGTAACATTGAGCCTGGTACTCAAAAATTTATGTCTATTTCGTGAAGATTTCCAAAATTGGATAGGGTATAAAAAAAGGAACCCAAAAGAAATTCTGCTCTCAAGTAGAGGAGAATTTATGCATTTTTTTAACGGTGTAGGGGGCTTAAAACCGAGTCAAATTCATTTGAGTCATCTTCATTTTTGGTCNCACATTAGGAAGTAAGGACTGCTCGGCAGTTCTGTGAAAGCTCACCGCAGTCCTTGTAATTCTTTCTAGCGGGTTCTTCGTAGTTCAACTTTCTGCTATTTGATAAACTTATAGAGTTTTCTCTGGAAGTTTTGAGCCGTGGTAATTTCTATGATTAACAAAACAGCCGAAAAGTGTTTGTTTGGCTGAAATGTTTTGAAGCAAAGGTCGGTAGTCTTTTGCTTCGTTTTATACCTAACCTCTATGGGACCCCACTCCCCTTACTCTGACCTCCTAACTTTTTCGCCTTCTTACTTACCGTATGTAGTTGTTGAAATTGGTTTTTAGAATTGTTAAACAGTGACTTTACTTTTTCCAAAACACGTAACATTGAGCCTGGTACTCAAAAATTTATGTCTAGATTTCAAAAATTTAATAGGGTATAAAAAAAGGAACCAAAAAGAAATTCTGCTCTCAAGTAGAGGAGAATTTATGCATTTTTTTTAACGGTGTAGGGGGCTAAAACCGAGTGAACTTCATTTGAGTCATCTTCATTTTTGGTTCAAAGCCATTGACATCAACACAAATTTCTCTTCTCCTCACCATCATCCAAAGTTTTCACTAAATCCGCCTTGAACTTTCGTCATTAGACATCAGTGAGCCAATCGATTACGAGTATGAGCGCGAAAATGGCGGCGAGTTTAATGCAGAAGACAACGGTGCCGATGGCGGTTTCGGGGCTGAGGAAGAAGAAGACAACGGTGTTATCGATGAGGCCACACCCGCGTACCAGTACGATTGTGATCACAACCCGAATGGCCAATTCCAGTGCTCAGATGGTTCACTTATAGCTTGCACTGAACACTGCAACCGCTACCCCGATTGTGCGGATGGCTCTGACGAAGACGCCGATTTATGTGGCCCGATCTATGAGGAAGAAGATCGCCGTCAGGCAGAACAAGATGCGCGTCAGCGTGCCGAAGAAGAGGAACGAAGACGAGATGAGGAGCATCGCCGAGCTTTAGAGGCAGAAGCACGCCGTCACGCTGAGGAAGAAGATGAAGCGTTACGTTTGGCGGAACGAGAAGAAGATGAGCGCCGACGTGCAGAAGAGGAACATCGTCGTCGCTTAGAACAATTAGACGAAGAACGCCGACGCGTCGAAGCCGAGCAAGGCGAAAGTATCAATTCAGTACAGCCAACCAAAGATGATGATGCGGATGAACTAGAAGAAGAGGAGCGCCGTAGGGCTGAACAAGAGGAAGAAGAGCGGCATCGCGCTGAACAAGAAGAACAGGAGCGCCTTCGTGCCGAGCAAGAGGAAGAAGAAGAGCGACGTCGCGCTGAACAAGAAGAACAGGAGCGCCGCCGTGGCGAGCAAGAGGAAGAAGAGCGACGTCGCGCTGAGTATGAAGAGCGTCGTCGTGCTGAGGATGAACGTCTACGTGCTGAAGAAGAAGAAGCTGAACGCCGTCGCGCTGAATACGAAAGTGGCCGAGGTAGCGTCTATGCGCCGACTAAAGTCCGCAAATCAATAAATTTTTATTACTCATTGAAGCAAGCTTTTATAGACCTAAGTGCTTTACATATTACTGAAAAAGAGCAACGCTTAGCGGCCTAGCTCCGATGTTGACTGAAATGCGGCTGTAAAAAATGCTTTATTAACATAGAACGCGCTAACTAATTACCGGGTTATTTTGTATTTGTAGCTAAAAGCTAACCAAACTAACTTATAAACTAACCGTTATAAATAATTGGAAAAGCTGATACTGCTTTTTACAAGTGATAACAGCAAAGGGGCTTAGGATACTAACGGTCGTTAACTTAAACTTTTTTTCCTCTTTCTATTAGACGACTTTTTGTAACTGGAGCTTTCACTCACAAATATAGCTTTCGCTAGAGCTTTCATTAGTTACCTTAGCGCAAGTTTCAAACTGGGTCTGTTATCCCTTCAAAAATAGAGCTTTCGTGTGCCGAGCTTTTTAAAGCTATCTTTATGTGGACGTGAGAGGAGTAAAAGGTCTCTTACCCATACTTCGTTCAATCAATAATGGTCACCTACGGATATTACTCTGTGCACGTCTATATAAAGTGTACAAAAAGCTCACTCAAGCCGATGCCAGTTTGAGTCATTTCTTCTTCGCTTACTAAAGCTCATTCAAAGCTTTCAGGTGTAATTAACTTTCGAAAACTTAACCCTTAACAATATGGTCGGTACAATGCCAATGCAATGGGAACTTTGGCGCCTCTTAAAGCTCAACTAAGTTTATTTTGAAGCTTTACCTAACTTTTACTTATCTTTGGTTAATATTGTACTTTTTAGTTATTTAATTTATTATTTCGTTATTATTTTACTAAGCTCGATATTCATCTAAATCAATACACATACTTACACTAAAACATTACTCGGGTTCAATAAAATTGCAATGCTTTTTACTTGCTCACATCCCCAAACATCACATTCAGTGCTTTTCTTCAGTCGGAATCATCGTTTAATTGGTTTTATAAAAGTTTCATAAAATTACATACAGAAGCGCTCTCATTCCATGCTCATCTCTGCACCTCACTCCCTCATACCCAAATTTTTCACATCCTGTCTCTGACCCGAACTCATTCCTCAAAACACTGAGCTAATCTACCCGCCTACCATTTTCTTTCACCACTCTTTCACGTTTTGTCCTCAATCACCCATTTATGTGTCGCTCTCCATTACTCTGTGATCGTCTATTACAAACTGTGTCATCTGTGTGTGTTCGTATTTAGTTTCCTCTGTATTTCCTACGTTACAAACGCTTACTACCGCTCTTCACCTTTATGTGTTGTGTGTTGGGTGAAATAAATTACCCCTTGTTTTTACTTACATAGTTTTTATGTCTTCTCTGTGCTCGCACGCTCTTTGTACGCTTTACCAACGCGCCATTTACCATGTAATCCGACGTCTGTCGGCAAAGTGGATATATTTTCAATTTCTCTCTGATTAGCATTTTCCAATTTCGCTTTGATAACTGCAGACAACTACAACGTCATACAACCATGGCAGCCCCAACCCACCGAAGAACCCGAAGACGTTTCTCATGTCACACCAGACTTTGATGAGGGTTCTGGCGACAATGGGCCTGGCATATCGACCGATCGTTCCACGCTCTTCACACCGTTCGGTTGCCGTGGTGACGCTTCATTCACCTGCTCTGAAAGCGGTGTGCAGATCTGTGACGAGCAGCGCTGTGACGACCACGAAGACTGTCCCGACGGAGAAGACGAAGTTGGCTGCTCAGAGGATGAACCTGTCGATGGAGGCGAAGGCGAGGGCGATGAATATGAAAAGGGTATAATTTTGTATGTGTGTGTGCGTGGCGTCACATCAGCGCATTCAAACAAACTCCAGAAAAATAAATGTCCCCAAATAAATGTGCCCGTTTATGAAAGTAACAGAAAACCCCAATCCTTTTCCCGAACCCCATAATCTGTGTCCCCACTACCCCACTACACACAAACCATTTACAATAAGTTGCTGTAGCTCATCTGTGTTGTCCTTAGCATAAATACGTAGCCTGTTGCTAGGTTTGCCAAGTGAATATTAGCGAAAATTATAAAATTAAGACACTCAGTCCTTGAACTTTTCCAAATTTTCTGGCATTAAAAAGTAGCAAAAACTAGAAGTCAGAGAATTTAAAATGCGTCAACTGTAAAAATTCCGAACTTCAGAATCGTCGCACTTTTGCATAGTGTATAAAATTAAAAGTATTCCTTAGAAATTAAAAAAAAAATATATTAATACTAACCAATGTGACCAAAGTAAAAATTTGCAAATTTTATTTTTTAAATATTTAAAAATTTCACTGTAAATATTTTCGTGCAATTTAGTTAAATTTTTTATATATTCAGTTACTTTTGTATTTTTTTATATTTCTCATTTGTACATTTTCATCTCAGTTTGTCTGTACGAGAGTCGCAATTTTTTCTCTCTCTCTCTCTCTAACCACATCATGAATGAACCTATTAACCGCCGACTGTTTTGTCACTTCGTTTACTAATCTTTACTTACCCGAATGTTTACAGTTTGTGCTGAATACGAATTTAAATGTGATGAACGTTGTTTGCCCCGTGAATACCTGTGTAATGGCGCACGTGAATGTCTCGACGGCAGCGATGAGGCGAACTGCCCGACAGAGGAAGAACAGGGTAAGTGAAGTCCTTCTATGTATTGTGAATATGTGTAGTATATACTTACTTAGTCGATATTTCTTAGATGTTACACTATAACTGTATTTTCAGACATACATATTTATTTTGCCTTATGCCATTCTTGAATTTTTTCATTATATGTTTTGTGTTATTCTTCTGATAACAAGAAAACTTATCCCGGCCTATCCACATTATTGATTTAGTTCAGACATTCTTACGTTATCGAAATATCAGAAAGTATTATTTTAGTGGACCAAACTACATATGTAATTACCACTAACACACCAAATGCTCTCGTAGTCTTATTAAGAAGTAATATTTTGTCATTTTAAATAGCGGAAACCATACCGATTTCGATAACGATACCATAATTATATCGACAACAATAATGCTGGATTTCCACTAGGCATTAAATGGCAAAAATGACAAATGACAAGGTCGGGCATTAAAAAATAATCGTGTCATTGCATTAAAAACATAGTCATTAAGTTCATTTCCACTTGGCATTTTTTTAAATGGCATACATTTTTTGTCATTTCAATGCCTAGTGGAAATTCGGCATTACGATAAAAGCATAAAACAGGATTTCGATAAAAAATCGATAAGGATGATGATAATGTATCGATAACGATATAGATAAGTTTATCGACAACCGATAATATCAGTTATTCCTTTTAGAGGATGTCAGCTGCGACCACAGATTTATTGTGCTTTAATAATTCATCACAACTCGTCTAACCCGAAGTTCCGAGTGATACTAAAATTGTTCTGGGACGGCGAAGAGCGAATGTACGTTGCCATCGTTCTAATTTCGTGAGGTTTCGTGGCCTACAATAGCCGGCCCGACAGCATATCTTTTGCTTTCCTCAATTTCGCCTTAGGCAGCGTAATTGCCTGTCTATCTGCCCTGGAATCGTTACCTGTTCACGCAGCTTGCCGAGCATGTCAGTGTGTAGCCCTATGATAATGAAGGGTACTGGTTATATTTTGTCGGAAAGTTGCTGCCTCTCTTTTTAGCCTATATCTACTACCGAATGTCAATGAAAAAGTCAGGAAGAGCTTTGATATAAAACGATATGTTAACTCTATCGATCAATTTTTCAATAAAAGTTGAGCAATACCTGCAAAATATTTAGCGTTATCGATAAAATGTGTTGATACCGATATATAATAACTATAAGGCTAATGATAATGCCATTAGCATTATAGATCGATGCACCAATTTGTATTTCGACAAAAATATCACAACCAAATTGGATAAAATTATGTTGATATCGCTAATCTATCGATAATCAAAAAAAAAATCGTAAACACTATGAGAACAATATCAATAAAATTACCAATGGTAATGTCGATAAAAGCAACAAAAACAACTTTTATAAAATATATAGATATCGGTTACTAAAATCGATACGCTAAATATAGAGTTTAAACCAATTTTTGAACTAATTTTGAATATTCGGGCGGTAAAAATTCAAATGTAAATATTTTAGTGCACTAATTTGGCAGTAACCAAGTGCATACACACAATTAATTTTACTCATTTCACTTGTATGAATTTCTAAATAAAATTGCTGGTGGCAAAATCTGGTCATTACGCATATTTTTGCAGCTAAAAGTAATGTACGAAAATAGTTCAATGTGCAAGGAGAAATTATGCAAAAAAATTAGAAATGTAAAATTTACCAAACATCTGGAAACATTGGAAGGCTATTTATAAAAGCATGCAATGCAAAATAAAGAAACACACGAACGATTTCTTGATTTTGTGCAATATTTGAANAACAAAGCGGAGCGAAGCATGTCAATTCAAATGGAAGTAGAAATGCGGCACAAGTGAATTATTCAATTCATTTTCAAATAGAGGACACGAAAATCTGTTAGTTTAGTTAAACGAGTATACCAAAAAAAAAAAAATTGTATAACAAAAATTTAAAAAAAAAATCTTTTAAATCCTATCAATCATTCGTGGTGAAAAAGTGTAACACCAAATTACAAATAAGCGTGAGCTCATAACTACAACAAGCAAATATTTAAACTACAAACTTACACCCACACATTACCCAACTATATTACATACATGCTATATATATCTACATATCTACTTCTATGTATACATACATACATCAGTACGTAGGGCAAGTATTTATACTGGCTTATATCATAAAATCAAATTGCATTGTGTGATGATAAAAACAAAATTTGTAGCAGATTAAAATTACACGCTTACTTTTGATATGTATGTATGTATGTATGTACATATGTAAACCCTCAGCCCTCCACCTCCTGCGCCAAAACGCCTCCAACTACTGGTGTCGAGTGGCGAGTGTCGAAAGTTGAAATCCATTTCAGCAATCACACCCAGTGGGCAGGATCTGTCCCAGCTAGTGGCTTAAGGAGCAGCGAGCGTTCTGTGTTTGTGTGGCTATATATGTGCGTGTGTGTAAGCACTGTGTATGGGCGTGTTGGTTGCTTTGTCGCTTTGTTGCTTTATTTTCCGACTTTTTCGTCGTTTCGTTGGTCGTGTCCTTGCTTGTTGACTTGACTCACTTTCATTTGTTGCAAGCAAAGTTGTTGGCTTTGTGGGTGGATTTGTAAACTTTCCCGCAGAGATTTATCTGCATGCTGTGTATTTTAGCGAAACAGAAAGTGTCAAAAAAGTGAGTGAAAATAGCAATTGAAAATGTGTTTTTTGGCAGATTTAAAATTTTCAACTAACTCCTAATGAGTGAATATCAAAACAAAAAACAAAAAAAAATGAGGTTGTGGCATACTAAGAGGCACTTGAAATAACGATGTAGTAGCAAGCATGAATATGAAGATGTAAAGCGTCCCTTAAAGGCACTGCAAACGCTGGTTCTGCCCCAAATTTGTACATTTATTTGTGTCCCATAGACTGGGTTGGGTTACAAATAAATATTTTGTAAAAGTCCTCTCGACGGAAGCTTTTAAACAAGTAAAAACTTGTTTCCTTTTTTTCATATGGGATCGCCCCGGTCTAAAGTCCCAATACAGGTTCAGAGTTTAGTATTATAGACTCAAGTTTAGAGAGAAACGCCAGATATATCCGCTACCTCAAATGTGTTTGTATAATAAGATTTTCCAAATTCCTTTCTGCCTTAAAGGAGTAGGTCATATGCTCTTCGATGACAAACCAAGAGAAACATAGTCCTCCATGCAAACATACATATGTATAAATATCATAGACATCTCCTGTCCGAGGAAAGTAGATTTACAGGCCAATTGTGGCAGCTGTCTTTTAACGCAGCACAGTCTTCCGAAAGACAAACGAGGAGGTCTTAGCTATATGCTTTTCGCCTTTTAGCAATCAGTTTTTTTTTTTAATTAAATTAAATTTTTTTTTTCGTTTTAAAACAATAAAAATTAATAATAGCAATCAGTTACTGCTGCATGCATATGTCAATAATACCAGACCCTACCCTCAGCCCATTTCTGCAAATAATTTTTTTTTTTTTTTTTTTTGAAACAATGCAAATATTTTTTCCGACAACACTTCATTACAACTTTATTGCATTCGAACACTTTGTTTTGATTAAATTTTTAGCAAGAGAGCAATTTTAAAAGTAATGAATTTTCGCACTTTCGCTAAACACATAAGGCATCGCTCTTCTTTTTTACATGCCAAAGTAAAACACTCCCAGCGGACAAATTCGCACACACACGCCTCCTTGGCAGAGACGAAACGCAAAAAACAAGCAGCCACAAAACACTATAAAATAGTAGCATACATATGTTTTGAATGCGCGGTACAATAAATTTTGTGGCAAGTGCGAAAGTGTAAAATTAATATTTTGCACAATTTTGCACTTGTTTTTTCTTTCAATTTTCAATGGTAAAATTTTGATTACAGAAAATTTACATACAAAATGGCAAAAAGTGCTGTTGCAAGTTTAAGTGTTCGAATTTATAGCTGCATAACGGTGCATTGTAATTGATTTCATCGCTTTTGCTAAAAGTTTTTATTGCTTTATTGTGGAATTTGAATAGAAAATTCTGTTTAGAAGCAAATCGCTTCGTTGGTGCACCGATGTATTTTTACACTGCAGATGATGCATTCAGTTGCATGGGCTTCTTAATGCATTCTGAGCGTGAAACTTTCGATTTTGCGTTTTTCACGCGCAATAAATTAGGTAAATATTCGCAGTTGCAACAATGCGCTAGCATGCCACCATAATGTGGTAAGTTTCACATAGCATAAATAGCACAGAATTGGTGTTGCAAGCACTTAAATGTAATTGTTCAAGTATTCTTCCGAAGCTCATTTTGAAATGAAGCCACCGAATATTATTCCAAAATAATTTTCTTCGAACCAAATTTATTGGATAACTAGAATTTTTGGATTTCCAACTCGCATGTCTTCCGTTGCAATCATGCATGCAACAGTTGCCTTCCTTTCAACAGGCAATCACTCACGCTGTTTGGCAGCATCAACACCAACCAACACCTGTGCGCCGCACACAGCACGTGCTATGGCAGTCGCGCGCCAGCCGGCTTTTGTTTACCAAATCGACGCTTGACGCCGCGCGCAACCAACTTCAGCCTTCGATGCTGCTACACTTCGGCCACTTCCGGCGTCAATCAGCAGCGTACAGCAAAAGTTAGCTTCTGCTAACAACAACATTGCCTTAGCAGCGCCGTTGTGCGCTCTGTTAGGGTGCTGTAAACGTTAGCTGCTCTGCTGCGGTACTAAACAACCTGAAAGCGTCGTCGACTGGCAGCGCGCCTCGGCTGGGCGCTGGTGGTCGTGCGCGCACGAACGCTGGAGTTTTCCGCTGCCGACGCTGTCTAGCGTGTCACTACGATTTTCATTGCTGCCACGCGCTGCGCTTTGTTTTGTTGTTTCACAACGAGTTCGTTTGGTTTTGCCTTTGATTAGCTCTGGCGCTGACTTTGGCATCGCAGCATTTGCAAAGCGTTGACTTTTCTGGATCAACACGAACGCCTCGTAGCAGTGTGGCATTTTCAAATGTTTCAGT